AAAGTTGCTTTGACAATCTGTATTGTTAAAAGCGCTATATAAATAAAGGTGACTTGACTTGACTAATTAGTTACAACTATGTTGTAGTGTGTGTTGGTCAAGTGCGTAGGGATGAAACAATATCAAAATCTCACGGTACGATAATATCACGATATGAAGTCCACGGTATGTACATTTTGTACATTTTAAAGTTAAATTATTCTTTCTAATGCACTCTGACAGTTCAAAATTAAGAGCTCCAGCCCATGATCTTAACTAAGAAAACTTGAGTCAGAAAAAGTCAGTTGGCTTGTACCTGATATATATAACAATGACAGTAATAGCCATATATTGTAAAACAACTGCACTATAAAATAAATGAAAATTAATATTTCATAGGTATATTATTTTTTGCTTTACACTACAATGGGGAAATTACAATACTTCTTTCCTGATTTCTACACTTGAGAGAGATATTTAATTTTGAAGGAAAACTCCAGCTTCAGTGAAAACATGCTTACAAAAATATGCTGTAATCATCTGCCGCGAAAATAAAGCATAACTGGTGGCCGTTGGATTCCCAAACGCGCTAAACTCACAGCACGTGCAGCGAACAAACTTTTATGTTAGAATAGGAAGTTTCAATATATTTTAAAAACAACACTTTTTGCCCGGAAGACCTATCGTTTTATATCATCATGTGACCACGATAATATCGAGACAGTTTTGCTATCGCAATATCACAATATTTATAATATCGTTACATCCCTACAACTGCGGTTTTTCTATAGGCCCAGATCCAAAGCCCATACCCGCCATGGACCTGGAGCCTGTACCAACATCCATGTGCATCTCAGAGCCTGAGGCAGTAGCCCGGTGCTGACCCTAATAGATCAGAGCTCCTTGGCCCTTCCTCCTTTGCTGGTCTTGGCCAGCCTCCTATCGCCTTCATCTCCACCAGTCCCCCCCATTCCACCACCCTCTCCTCTGGATCCCCCCTGCTTCCGCCTCCTCCGCTGTCCATCAGTCCTCACTGGTGCTGTTCCATTTCTCGGCTCTGCTCTCCTTGTTAGCTCCACCTAACTTCCTGGCTTGGCCTTAAACTTCACGGTCCCAATCTCTGGCTCCACCTCAAGCCTCCGAGCCCATGACTCCACCTTGGCCTATCAACCCATTGGCTCGACCTTGGCTTTTTGTTCCCTGGGCCCCACCATGGGCCCTCATCCCTCAGGCTCTGTCGTCTCCCTCAGTCTTCTAAACCTCTGGCTCTGCCAGGTTCCTCCTTCCCTTCGGCTCTACCTTTGTCCTAGCTCCCACTGGCTCCTCCTCTGTGTGCTAATCCATGGTCTTGGCGAGGCTGCGGCTACACCTTCCTTGCTTTGCCTGGGTTAGTTCCTGTTTCCTTTGTCCCTGTTCATATGATGTTGTAGTTACTCATTTGTTAATTGATTAACCTCACCTGTTCCTTGTTTTTTTCCTTGTCCTTTCCCTTAGACAGTGTATTCATAGCCCTCACTTTAAGATGATCTTTGTCTGTTCTCATCTGTATTACGTAGGGGTGCTCTATCTCCTGAGTTCTTCTTGTTTTCAGCATGGTTCTTTTTGGGATTATTATTTTAAATAAAGTTACTACTGCACATGTATCCTGCCTCTGTTCTCCCTTCCTGCAACCAGCTTGACAAGTTGTGCTGCTTAAAATGTTTGTGAAAACTATGATATATTTTCTTGAGTATAACAAGAGAGAAAGTTCATTGAAAGAACGTCACATCAGAAACACAGACTGATCACAAGTTTCTCCCCAGAATCATGTCTACTGCATCACTGTCTTTCACTCTCTTAAGTTGAAAGGGATTTCCACGCTGAGTTGGAGACCTGAGAGTTATGAACTTCTCAGCTACTTCATCTCTTACCCAGCATGCCCCTGAGACTCTTAGAAAAATATCTAGTAGCACAAGCAATAAAAGTGCTGTGCCACAGTGAAGTGACTTCATCTCACAGTAAAGCTCTCAGTGATATATGACACAGAGGGCAAAAAGGTGATCCCAGCATGAGCGCTGGGGCACCATGGACCTTATTGCCCCCATGTGCCCCTTTGTAATTTAATGCAAAGCAGTGGAAAACAGCTGTTACTCTCTACAGAATCTCTATGTAAAGTTCTGCAGTGTTTAGCTTCATAAATTTGCTAATATCCATTGGGATCCTGATTTTACTACAGGAAGGTATGTTTTAGAGCTCTTCACAAAAACTCCACACTTATTCAGAGAGCTCTCAACATGATCCCTTACTACAGATTAGGAGCACATTCCCATGCCCAGAAGTCAAGGGTGTGAACACTTAATTATTGGGTTGCTTAGATGGGTCAAGTGCCCACATCACGCCCATGTGCCAGGTACAAATACCTTATGAGTTTTCCATCTTTGCATGTTGTAGTTGCCTTTGGAATGCTCATTGGGGGTTTATACACAAACATATTAAGGCATACTTTAAAAAAAAAATCTTTCAATGGAGCTGCTCAATGAGCGGCTTATCGACAATGTGCAAACAATGTGCAATGTAAAGCGCTATATAAAGTAAATTAAGTTGACTTGACCAATGCACTTCCTTGTGAAAAAGTAGTAGACTTTGGCCTACTTTTAAAAGACTTATAACAGAAGCAATATACGTTCAAAGCATATACATGTAATGTTTTTGGATACTTAATTGCATGTTAATTGCATTTAAAAGAAAATGTAATTATAATCAAATTTTATATGACATGCTATTAGCGTAACTTAAGAATGTTTTTTGATCCACTTAAATAGGGCTTAAGTACATTTTTATATGTGATCTCATAATTACTTCTATTGTCTTTGTATGGGTAAATATGGTTAAAGTGTACTGCTGATTTTTTAAAGTTGTAAATAAAATTAAACTACTGGAGAAAGTTTTACAAGAAAATATTATTTCAGTCTTACTACTTAAAAATTTCACGTTCAATTCAATGTGTTAACTGACATTTCTTCTTAATTATTTGTGAGATCTAAATTAAAATTTTACATATTTTTAGAAGTACAAAGAACTGACTGATTCACACACACACATATATGAGAAATATCACACGAGTAGCAGTGCGATATGGCTGTATATTGGCACGGCTGTGATTCGGCCGCAGGCAGAGTGCCATAGCATTGCTGGTCAACAGCATAAGGTATGTTTTGCATGCTAGGACCAGCTTGCTATACTGGTTGCTGGTTTGCTGGTCCCCAGCATGGGATTCTGGTTGCTGGTTTGCTGGATCCCAGCATGGGATGCTGGTTGCTGGTTTGTTGGTCCCCAGCACGGTAAGCAGGTGTGCTGGTGGACCATCATAAGGTATGTTCCCTTCTGAGGGAACTTTGAACTGCGTCCTCTAGAGGTCGCTTGGGGGAATGCCTTCAGCGTGACCGGTGTCTGAAGCATACATCTAAACATGACAAAACACTGGCCGGCGTCAGCCTGTGACGTCATTACCCGGCGCGATCACAGTATAAAAGGGCGCCGGGAGAACACGTCATCCTCTTCTTCATCTTCAGGACTGTTTTGTTTGAAGCGTGCATTACAGTAACAGTAAAAAATTATGATTTTTTTTCTTCTTTACCATGGCCAGCACTAGTAAGGTGTTTAAGAAGTGTGTAGATCCGTGTCCTCGTTATTTGACACCTGATGGTACACACGATCTTTGCGTTTTTTGTTTGGGCGAAGAGCACGTGCGCAATGTCCTCGAGGGGGCAATCTGCGTGCATTGTGAGCATTTTCCGATGAAAAAGCTCTGCTCTCATTTGTCTCTCTTTTCGAGGAAAGAGGGACAGCCATCAGTTCCCCTCGGTTCAGGACCTGCCGCTGCTGAGGCATGGAGGAAAATGAGCTCGTGGGGATCGCAGGTGGATCTGGCTGATGAGTTGAAAAAGGGTCTTTCCCTTTTGCGCTCATCAGTCACGGATGAGGGTGAGCTGCTGGATGACAATGCTATTTCTCTTACATCGTCTGATCCAGCGGCTAGTGCTCTTTTGGCTCCAAGCCAGGAAGAGCAGGAGATGTCAGATGAGGACGAAGGAGTTGAAACTGAGTCATTCCTCCTGCCCTGTGGTACTTCTATTGTCTTTGTATGGGTAAATATGGTTAAAGTGTACTGCTGAATGTACTGACAAGCATTTATGGTAAACTAAATATACTTAAATGTGATTTCTATTGAAACTTGTACGTCATGTATTTAAATTGAATTAATTATTATTTAATATATTGTAATAACACATTTGTAAGCAATTTGGTTAATTTTTTTAATATATTAATATTCATATTCATATTAAAATATTTTTAATATTAAAATATAATACTGATTAACACACTACAGATAAACTTATAATCTTATAAAAAATGATAAACATTTTATAAAAAGTAATGACATTACACCAAAATAAGCATACTGTTTTAATTACTCTGATCAAAAAGTGATGCAATAAAGTTAATCTAACATGGTTATCATAATGAAAGAACTTAACAGATAAACAGATAAATATGAAATTTAGCAAGGGATTTTCAGCTCCTATCTCGCTTTGCATGAAACTGGATGAGAAGAAAGAAAAAAACTATAACTATATTGTAAGTGTTTCTGGGAAACTGACACAGAGTTATTGCTGTTAGTCCTGAACATGACTGTTAAGATTTAGAAAGGGGTTATTTTGAGGGTTACTGTTGTGGTTATGAGTGGAGACTGTGGTTGGGATAGAAACAAGCTGTTATTAGACAAGTTGTTTAGTGTAAGTTGTTTCAATGAGCAAGCATATTCCTGATACTTTTGATGTTTGCATGTTATAGTGTTATTATCGTATGACCTGATCCTGTTTTTATAAGAACAAAATCTGTACAAAGCAGTTGTATCTGCAATAAGAAAATTAATTTAAAATGAATAGGATTTACTAGATTCTCATGCAAAAACAATATTTATCATAATAGTGACTTAAACAAATTTTTGTTTATAAATAACAATAAACGGAACTAACATATACACTGAACAAATTTATAAATGCAACATTATTGTTTTTGCCCCCATTTTTCATGAGCTGAGCTCAAAGATCTAAGTGCCCTGCGTAAGCTCAGTTGCTTGAGGTTATGGAACGCGCCACGGTGAGGCTTGACTTGCCGTAGAAGCGGGGTAAGAAAGTGGCGCCTCGAAGCCGCCTCGATGAGCGTTGTCTTTTTGATCATAACCCTCCAGCTCAAGTGAGCCTTCCATTTCTTCCTGATCTCCATGTGGAGATCAAGAAGGCTTGGAAAACTCCATTTTCATCCCGCATCCATAGGTTTCAGCATACTAGTTATGCCAATATTGAGGGGATGCGTGAGAACGGTTATA